TCAATATGGGGAATTGGTCTCACAAGTCAGTCATTCATCTCTATAACATTTTACATGTTGCATGTAAGCTATTCAGAAGATGGCCTTAAGTAGATCATATGCCAAAGTTTAGCGCAAGAATATATAGTAACCTATCATTTGCATAGTCAACCCATCGTGATTATAAGCTAAGCCAAAGGAAATTTACCGATTTCAAATGCTAAGGATATGACGATTGATAGCCGTCTTTTTTTCCTTCATTTAACAGTGAACTTTAGCACTCTCTAGATCAAATTAACATATAAAATCATTTTACGGAGATGCAGGCGATGCGGGCCAGATCACAGTCCAGGTTTGAACTTCAGGGTCAGTGCAACAAAAACAGGACAATTCATATACGTTGGTGTTTTAGTGTTGTGACTCCATTATTTGTCTAACACTGATATGTCGCGGCTTAGATCAATATACAAAAATGTATGTTTTTATCTTTCTGAAGAGTAATTATTTTCACTTGCTTTTTTGTTGATTTAAAATAAAATATATATACAAATCTATATGCATTTGTTCTGTAAAATGAGTGAGAACAAGATGGTTTTACATTTTGAAATGTTTATATTCCAAATTTTGAGAGTAAACAGTTTGAATTAGATCTACGAGATATAGTCAAAAAGTTCCTGGACTGGTCTGTTTAAAAAGATTATTGACGTCCGATTGTCATGAAATTTACCATGAAGGTATTTTAAACTAATTTGAGTAGCAACATGTATGAAAAACATTTAGTAAATATTTGGAAATTATTTTTCAATTGAAACACGCCCGCAACCCGTGTACGGAGCATTTCAGAATTAATTTGATTTTTCTAGAAGTGAATACTACTCTTTCATGAATGTCTCAAAAAACTGGCGCCAGAACGTCGTGATTTTTGTACGTGACGTCAGCTGAACGTTACTAGTAAACAACTGCAAAACTTCAGCGTGACCGGATGACGTATCGCCATTTTGAGCACGATTATTCAAGCCAAGTGAAAATTTCTATACGAAAAAATGTCAACCTCAGAAAAACGTACGGAGCAGCGGGCAGTAATAAAATTCTGTGCGATGTCTGGCATGACTCCGACTGATACCTTGAAGTTTTTGAATCAGAAGGAGGGTGTTCATAATTGTTCTAGGACACTTGTGTTTGACTGGCACAAGCGTTTTAGGGTCAGACGGAAATTACCGATAGTGCATGAAGCGGAAGACGGGGTAACGATCAGCGCTCAATCCAAGATGTAAAGGACGTCATCGCCAAAGATCGGTAAAAGTCGATTGATGATATCGCAGACACCGTCGGGCTTTGTCATGGAACTGTACATTAGATAGTGACGAAGGATTTAAACATGAATAAGGTATGCGCCCGCTGGGTACCTAGGTTACTTACAGATGAAAACAAAGCAACCCGTGTAGACGCTTCCCGAGAATTTTTACGGCGATATGATAGAGACGGCGAACGATTCCTAAGGCGCATTATCACTACGGATGAGACGTGGGTGAACTTTTACGACCCGGAGAGTAAACGAGAGTCGATGGTGTGGAAGCGACCTTCATCACCTCCCCCCAAGAAGGCAAAAACCTGCAAGTCGGCGAATAAAGTTATGTATATTTTCTTCATGGATAGCTTAGGGTATGCTGTTGCAACATGCGGTGCCAAGATCGCCGACAGTCAACAAAGAGTACTATCAAAAGGTAAGCATTGATTATGTCGTATGAAATGTTTTTACAACATTTCTATGTTTATTTATATGTAAGGTGAAAAGTATATAAAATATAACAAAAAGTGAAAGAAACTATTATTTTTATAATTTGCCGCATTTGTGGTAGTTACAAATAAAATGAATTTGTTATTAACAGGTTGTGCGGAGGGATCTAACGAACGCTATCAGGAAAAAGCGAGCAGGGTGCGACATCGAAAATTTATTTTTTCATCAAGATAACAATCCAGCACAGCTCAGACGAGACACTCCTTACTATTGACTTCATAGGATATGAGCGGCTACGTCATCTCTCTTATAGCCCCGATCTCGCCCCCTTAGAATTTTGTGTTTTCTCTAGACTGAAAGCAGATTTGAGGGGTCGGAGGTTTGATACAGAAGATGAGATCAAATATGCTGTGAGGTCCGCAATAAGAAGTTACACTCCAGAGTGATATGCAGACATTTACCGGAAGTGGGTACAGCGGCACATAAAGTGTATTGAACACAATGGGGACTATTTTGAAAAGCATGAACGTGATGGTAAGTTGTTTCTGGAATATGAACGTCACCTGAACGTCGTTAGCGTCGTCGACGTCGCCGAAGTGCTCCGTACGTGACATAGTGTGTAACTTTAACGGGGTGTTAAATATGTGTAACATTTATGAAAATCATTGACTCTTATATATTCATGCAGCGATTTCTCTAAATTTTAATGTGATATATGTCATTATAAAAACATACACAAAATAACAAAGTTATCGTAAGAGTCCGGGAACCTTTTGACTATACCTCGTAAATAACTATATTATGAAGGTATAAGGATGCCTTATCGACAGATAGCAAAGATGACCGTTTTTTAATCCCTCTTATTTTACAAATACCTGTTTCAGCTAACCACTTTTTTCATATGCTTTTTTTTGGTTTTGTATCTTTTCATTTCAAAACTATAGTTACTTTTTATCACATTTATGCTTTTGAGTGGATAACTGATTTATCCGTGAAAATTATTTTTGGTAATAGTAAAAAATTATCAAAATGTAATTGTCAGGGATTGTTAGAAAAAAGCAAAGCTGAAATTGAACAATAACTTAAATATCAAAAGTAATAAAAAGAATTCATTCAAATTATGGAACACCAAATATTTTCTCGTCTATAAATTTTTGTTTCATTTTATAGTTTGAAAAACACATTTCCTTCCACATGCCATGCACAACTGCTCTTGTTGACATTGGGCATATTTAAGTATCCTACGACCAATAACTGCCAAATGCAATGTAAAAGGCAGTGACAGTCACCAGCCCGAAGACCTAGCGTCGTAAGACAGCCTTTCAACAAGTCCATGTTTTCCAATATCCTAGTCTCTTATTGAATGTTTACACACATCTATCACCAATTATTAATTGTCTTTAACAATCCTCAAATAATTTTGCTTTGTTGCCAACAGATGTTTGACTAACAAATCCAAACGAAATCCCTCTGAATCAAACACATTTTTTTCTCTCGTGAAAAACACAACTTTTAAAATGGCGACCGCCCGAATACACAAAACCTTGTCAAATATAAACTTCCGGCAAAAATAACGAAAATAAGGTCGGATGGTGTGAAATTTTCTTCTGCTGGAATTATTTGGTTTTTTTTGTATTCATAAACAAGCTATAAATTATAATTTTAAATAAAATAAATGATTATTATTATCATAAACATTTAACGTTATTTTTTGAATATATTTTTTAGCTCAAAACTTCATGTTTTTATGAGAAATTCGTCTGAAATTGAGGGAAAACTGATTTTTATATTCAAATTAATATTGAGGAAATTTCGTTTAAAATGGTATTTTGAAGCATAGAATAAAAAGATAATTAGTTTGTTTATTGTGTTAGATGTTATTATTTTTTTCTCGTGAACTTAAATACTATCTTAAATGTTCCCCCGATGGAAAAAACAACCAAACAAAAAACAAATATCCTCTTTATCTTTCACACGTTGTACAATGAAGCAATTTAGACAGTTAGATTGTTTCAAAAATAATTTAAAAGAAACACGAAAAACAAAAAATAAAAAATCCAGACGCGCGCGCACGAACTCACTTAGTAATAAATAAATTAAATGTAATAACATCATCTGTTTTATAATTTCCCAAATTAAAATAATTTTTGAATTGTTTGAACTGTTTCCCTAGCAGACAGCTTTAGTCTAAATGATCTTTAATCAATTTTAATATTTGTTTTTTCTTTACTTTTCATGTCTAGATGAGAATTCAGAAAAACATCTTTATTAACAATTCTATAATTAAATTTAAATTTAAAGATATTTAAAAAATTTTAATCATTTTTAAATGCTTTTGGTCTTACAAAATTTTTGATTAAAATGTAAATTTTGACGGGTTTCGCTCCATAAAATCGGATAAGATTCAAAACGGGTACAAAAATAATTTTTTGAAATGTGACACATTGTTTTTTTTGGCCCTTTTTTTAAATGCCAAAACCTAATTTAATAAAAAAAAATAGAAAGAAAATGTTTGGAAAAGTACTAAAGACAATTCGAAAATGTTATTCTTTTTCTTTTGCGTTTTTTTTGGAAATTTAAATTCATTATTTTGATTTTTAATTTTTTTGATTTTTTCATTTTTCCACCAGACGGAAATTTTTTAAAAAAATTTGTTTTTTCGCTATATTAGGGAAAAAGTGAAAACAGCGTTTATAGCAGTTTATTATTTCTTATATGTTCTTAGAAACTGTCATGTGAAATTTTTATGAAGAGTTTCGGTAGTGAAATTTTTCATAATATTTGGGAGCAAGGATTGTCCGGTGTTTATTATATCGTCACCATCTTTGTCGTATTGAAATCCGTTTCCATATTTTAGTGCGTGTTTAGTATTTACGAAAATGTGCCGTATGAATACATCTGCGGATGTTTCTAAATTAAAAATTTCAACCCTTCAAACTTTACAGGTGGCGAGAAACCTTAGGCACCCCTATGTGCATTAATACAGGCAATAATGGGATTCTAAGTACAGACACCGACGTTCCAGTAAGCTAGGTGGATAGCTTAATCACATGACAGAATCCAAAATCCCTGATAGCATTCGAATCGACAGTGGTAAGGGACAAGTGGTTTGAAGTCAACGACGTTAAACGTCACGGACGCTCAGTTACTTTGCAGTGGTTTTGTTAATTTTCAATAATTTTAATGCGGCATACTCGTATTCATACATCTCTAAAACACCAAAATGCTTGAAATATAAAATAATGTATTAGTTTGAAAGCAATAAAACAAGTAAAATACTAACTAATGAGTTACATTTTACTATTTCCATTTACTCTTTCAAGAGCAATTATAACTTTCTAATGATTTAACGTTTAACATATCTATCTATCCAAGCATTTTAAGATGTTATTCAAAAAGAAGCAACACATTGATAATCCGATATTATAAGCTATATAAAATGTGTTTCTTCCGTTAGAACATTTTGTAGTGTTGCCGATGTTTCTGATGCTTTTATCAGTAGTAATACCAAAAAATCATTGGAAACAATATACAATGAGAGATGATAGAATGTACATGAACTATGCAAGTGTAAGTGCAATATGTACGTTTCGACAGGATACAACTTGTCCGGTCTAATTCCTTGAACCAAACGTGTTTTTATTTAAAGTAATGCATCCTAGTGAAACAATAAGCAGTATGGAAGATTATGTATTAAATATACAAACTAAGTTTATTCAACGTTTGTTTTCATCCCCACCCCCTAAAGTGCTCTCCGTTTCGAATGTTTTTTTGTTTTGTCAGAAAACTTACTATGATTGAGTTTATAAAAGCTTGGATATAGTTTCAAGCAGCGGTACATTGCCTTTTTGTAATTGAACACCTTGTTTGATTCAACATCGTTGTTCAAAAGTCCAATAAAATACAGCAAATCACTGTATAATAAGCTTATGTCAACAAACCCAAGCTTTGTAGTTAAATATGCTGTTTTTAAATTTATCTCTAGCAATCACCTCTATTTTCTTATCCTGTGCAACAGTAAAATGGTTCTTCCAGTCCCCGATTATGCCTGTAACAAATGATAAAATTATATTTATATAAAGCATTGAATCATTTACAGACTTCTCAGGAAAATAGAAATTTGTTAATTTCAAGTCTTCAATAGCCATGCAAAGATAACAAAACTACAGAAAGTCTGGTTTTAATTACCTTTTCTATAAAGAATTGATTTTCCTGATTCATCAATTAGCACTGTTTTAATTTTTCCATTTTCTACATCAGCTCTAAGATTGCCTAGCGAACATTTATCTAAAACGGTTTGAAGTCTTTCGTCAGAATGGCTGAGTCCAAGGTAAGTCTGAATTCGACGTAACTGATTTAAACTATCCTAGATGGAAGAAATACATACAAATTTAGTGTTCATTGTGAAATGGGAAGACATTTTAGTATCATTTTGTTGTTACAAGAAATTAGTTATTTTTTATTGTTTCTTAAGAAAATAAAAAAAAAAACCCAATGCTGAGATGAGTAACTGCCTACCTTCAGAAGGTAATAAACGATATAAAACTGTAAACGTAAAATTGAAATTACTATAATGTCAGATATAATAGAGAGAAATAAAGAAAGCAACTATAGAATACACAGATACGAACACATATGACTAATAACAATATATTTCTGAAAATAAAGAATCGTCATCATTTCCTTCATCAACAAAATATAATTAGAAAATAAAAACAAACCATTTTCAAGTCTTCATACTGGACAATAAGTACATCAAGATCTGGCTTCTCTTCTAAATACTTTTGCCACTTGTTGTAATAGTCAAAGAAAGAACCCATCAACACTGAAATTGAGAACAAGTGCATTATTGCTGAATCAATTTAGAAGGATAGACACGGAGAAAGGTTTGAGATTTGTTACCTTTCTTTGAAATAAACAACATGATTAATTCAAGGTGAGATAAAATCATATTTATTTTATGCTCTTAAACACTCGAGCCAGTGTGTTGAATTGCACACAATTATGATTAAGTTTCACAGACTTTAAATGAAATATCACTTTATTTACAATATTTCGTGCACTGACTTTGTATATGCTATGATTCTACGTGAAAATGAATTTCGGATAAACATTTTAATAAGTTCTTCTTAATTAATTACATTTGTCTTAAATCATCATTTAAAACTGTTTACTTTTTCCATCAACCCAGTAATCAATGTAACTATTCCATGATAGTTTAAATTCACCCAGCATTTTGAATCTTATTAATTGATGATACATCGAAACGGCTGCATCTTTGGGATTACGGAACACCAGAACTGTTTTCCCGCCCTTTTCAAAATGTTCGATTGGTAGACTTTTGGGCGGGAAATGTGATGTCACAATTCGTCTGCCTTCTCGCTGTTGCACTGTATCCATATCAAAGAGATCTATAAGACAGGGCGGATGTGAAACAAGATCATCCAGTGGTCCATCATACATTAAATAATGTAACAAGTTTGCTGTCCAGTGGGTACCTTAAACGGAGAAAAAGGTTTCAATAAACAGATTGATGTGCAAAGATAAACCTTTATCCCTCAAGATTCGAGATTTTTTAATAAAATGCATCATGAATCTATCTGATCAGTAAGAAACAAATGCAGCATTAAGCTTGTAAAAATCAATTTAAACTAGAGCTATCAATAAATGTGATTAATACCCAAGCAAGACTGCTTCGGAAATGAGGAAGTAACTAGTAACAGAATAACTCGTAAAAATGAAATAGAGTTATGGTTGTGGGCAATTAAAGATAGTTATGGTTCTTGTACGTTGCTTTCCTTTCACTGTGGTTGACCAATGATGAAACTTTATTGAAGAACTCTGTAATAAGTCCATATACAGTTACGGTTCTTAAGCACTGCACTCTTTCTCATTACGCTTGACCATTGTATCAACTCTTGATGAATTTCAAACATTTGTCTTTAAGTTAAGCACCGGACAAGATAAAGGAACAAAGGGCAATGACTACTTAATAAGTCCAAATAGAGTAATGGTTCTTTTGCATTGAACTTCAATGCTCCCCTTGGGGCTTGATCATTTTATGAAATTTTAAGAAATACACTCCCTTTAAAATGCGGGTTTTTTATCAATATTTCTTGACTATTTAAAACTTTTTTTTGAATTTCCAAAACCCGTGATTTTTATGGGTTGGTCTTGCGACAAGGAAAAAGTTTTAAAAAGGGGAATCACCTATTAATTACTCTGCACTGCAGTTCTTCTTATTGTGCTTGACCATTGTATGAAGTTGTTTTGAATTCCAACCATTACTTTTCAAGTTATCCCCCGAACAATTGAAAATATCAAAAGGCAATAACTCTCGATTACTCAAAATGGAGTTATGGTTCTTCGGCATTGCACTTTCTCTCAATGTGCTTGAACATTGAATGAATTTTTATTGAATTCCAAATAAAATGGTTTTCAAAATTATTCTCCGGACAAGAAAAAAAAAATCAAAAAATAAAAAAGGGGAAAAAACTTTTTTAAATTAAATTTAGGAAAAAAATATGGTTTTTGTCACTTCCCCCTTATTGGGCTTAAACCCAAAAAGAAAATTATTTTTGAATTTTCCAAAAAAGAAGTTTTTAAAAATTTTGCCTGGACAAAGGAAAAGTTAAAAAAGGGCAATCACTTTTGTAAATTAAATTTAAAAATGAAAGGTTTTTTGTTCTTGTGCACTTGTACTTCCCCCCAATGTCTTGACTTTAAAGAAGTTTTAATGAATTCCAAAAATTTTTGTCTTTTTTAAAATAGGGTCCGGACAAGGGAAAAAAGCAAAAAAAACACTGGAAAATAATTTTTAGCCGGAGTCTGAAAGCAAAAAGGAAACTTATTTTCTAAAGGGACTGAAGGTATCTTTGCATAAAACTGTGGATGACATACAGTATAAGTCTTTGAAGAAGACTACACAATAACTTAATGTAAACGCAACAAATAATGGTTTGGATTTCAAGATGGATAACAATTTCTGATTTACGCAATTAATCATAAATAAACACTCACACTGCAGTTAAGTACCAAATAAAGAACTCGTGGGTAATTAACATGTAAAAACCTTTTCATTTGTGTATATACAAACATAACAAATACGTCTATAAATAAATATATAGCACATGATCGTGTTGAACAAAACAGATATGGATGTAAATTCAGAGACCATTTTAGGAAAAGCTTTTAATGTCATCCTTTCATTTTTCAACAAAATAAGTAAGAAAAGGTCATTACATAATCACATGAAATGAAGTCTTAGTAACGTACAAAATGACTTAAGGATAAAAAAGAATTAATTACAGGAAAATAACGTTACTTAGTCATACCTGTTTTCGGATAGCTACATAAGAGAACATCGCCATCCTCATAAGGAAAATTCTTAACGTAAGAAAGCCTTTTTTCTGCTCCAATTTTAAGTTTTTCAAATGGGAAGACAACTTCATCAACAGTTACAGTTTTAAACTGGTTCCCGTGTTCATCTTCCAGTACTGTCACTACACCATTACACTCGTCTTCATCTTTGACCTAAAACAAGTATTTTCGTTTGCCATTATATGAAGGTAAAGGAATGAAAAATATATTCATACAGCAAGTTTGAATACATTTAACAATAAAATATATTCAGTTCCAGTAAAAAAGCTGCACATTATTAGGAAAGCAATTTGATGTTAAATTCACAGTAACCTTAAGTAATCGTCACTGATATGGCAAAACTTGTACAGCTGAATAAAGCTTAATAACAACGCTCTGAGACAGGGGAGTTGGCCTTGTTCTTTTATTACGGTTAACAACCAACACAATTGACAACCGGCTCTTTTAATTGCTGTATATAATTTCTGCGTGATTCTTTCTTGGCGCTATAATTTTTTTTATATTTGTATCTCAACTCGTGTTTGGCAATTCTGACACTACACTCTTCATTCCGCATCGATCGGATCTTTTACTAACGTTCAAGTGTGTGAAGTAATTGTTATGCTGACACTTATAATGAATTTATGATGTATATTGAAATCGCAGCGTCGTCTGCACAAGAAGGGAGACCTACAGATACACATTCGTCTAGTCAATTTACTACATATAATATATTCATATAATCAGGATATATTCTCACGCGTATGTCTAAATTGTACGTTTATACGAGATAAAAAGTACACATTAAACTACTGTGACCTTTCTAGTTTTAAGTTATATACTTTGATTTTTTATGTCCAGCAGAAGTTTGTAAATTAATACGAATACCTTTTTCACTTTTTTATACAACGAAAATAACCTTTTAAATTGTCAGTTTGTCATTGTCAATTTTAGATGTAACTTCGTCGCAGCGTGTGTTTTTCTCTTCCAAAGGACGGTCAGTCACCCTTAATATTTGAATATGTCAGTCGATTTGAATCTTTAAACTTTTCTGATCTCATTGCATTATAGCCTTTTAATGTAAAAATGTAAAAAAACAACTGCCTTTTGAAAATTGTCGCCATTGTTATTAATCAATATTGATTATTGTTTCTAGATTTCAAATTCGATATTTAATACAGGGTATTTAACAGCATTTTAAAGGTTTTAATTTTTGAATTTTTTATAAATGGGTTTAAGAGTTTTAATGAAATTGATTATCGAGCTTTTTAAAGTCTTTGGTTTTTAAAACCCTTAAATACTTGTGGGTTAAGCTTTTAAATTTTACAGTTAAATAAATTTCCCCGGGCCCGGGAACCCGTAATTGGGGTAGGGGGACAGGTTTAGGGGTCATGTGTATGGGGTTTTAATTTTTTATTTTCCCGTCATTTAATGTTATAACTTTAAATAACAGTTTAATAATTTAAATAATTGTCTCGAAAATTAAATAGTTCATGTAATAATGAAGATAGAAAAGTTACTGGTATAATAAAAAAGAAGAATTTCAGAATGTTCTTGAAAGAAATCGAACGTCATTAAAACTATAAATAAATCCTGCTTCCCCTTGCTTTTCAGCATTTGTGATAGATATGAGAAGAAACTCTTTGCACTGTAGGAAAAACGAAAGCTAACGTGACAGGGTAAATTTAAAATTTGATATTGTAATATATAGTACGAGGGTTGTCCATAATGGTCGCATAATGCTTCCATGAAATAAAAAAACAAACAATTTTTTAAAGGGATACACAGGCAAAATATTGACAAAAATATAAAAATGATCTTGTGTACGGAAATCACATTAAAATGACATTTCTTAAAGTCCCAGCATGAATTTCTGTATAAATTCTATATATTTTGGCTTTGAAGCTTAAATATATCTATATATGTTGAACGAAAATTAGACGCCAACAGAATCAGCGAATAGTTTAAAAACAAGTCATGTGATTTGAACAAACCCTGTAAGTTACAATAACAGGTATTGTGGGTATTGTTTGATTGAAACAAGTCTAAGTCATCCAGTTGACATGTTCTTTAACGTTTCCAGAGTACACAGTGACAACTATTGTGAAATCTTAGCGCTCTAACCTGACCCACGTAGGTCAAGTTAGGAAATCACCATTTTATTCTTTATATGGAGAAAGGTTTGTTCCTTTGACTGTTCTTGTGTATTCATTTTGAGGACAGTTACAGAATAATGAATGAAAAATTCAAAACTAAGAAATGAACATTTTGCCCGTGTCTCCCTTTAATGTGTACATACATATATTCAATATATTTCCACCTTACATGACATATTTCATAAATTTTATAATAAAGTTTTTTCTGATAAAGTTTTACAAAAAACAAATATTTGAAAATATGCAGAATCGACGTAGCGGCGCAGGTCACGACGTCATTTGTCATTTGACGTCAACATTAGTGATTATCTGAAAATATTTTTTCAACATGAAGGCTATAATATCATTCGTTCTAGGGTTGAACAATCGCTGGGGAACTTAGCGTAATAGATCGATCTGTCTCCCAAGAATGTATGTATATACTCTCAATGCAGAACTTAAACCGACTCTTAATTTGTTACTTACTGAACACATTTTTGCCCGTCTTTCTCTTTCTTAAGACTCGTAATTATATAATTCTTAACTTAAGTTGCAAGTTCTTTAAAGTTTTTCATTGCTATTTGTTTAGAAAGTCATGCGTGCTGAAAGGATATATACGTTGATATATGATGTCAACATTCTGAATGCATTACATCAAATACACCCGACAATGATACGCAAAAAGTCCTCTAAGGTGCCTGTAGTTTACATTGAAAATAATAACTCGTTTTGACGTCGAAAATTGACAAAATTTTGAACTGCGCCGGTTTGAAAAAAATCAAAATTTTAGACAGAAATATAAAAATAAAGTTATGAACAATTGTCCGTAGAATTTGGCATGTGGTTAGATAATTCGATACTATATACAAGTTTTCTCAAAAATGCAAGTTAAGCTATAAACTTTTCACAATCAAACTTTTTGGACAACCATTGTATTTTGCAATATAATTATGCACGAAATAAAATTTGAACAGTTCGAACACCTAATTCATATAGCTGATTTAAAATGAATTTTCCGCCATAACTTTAATGTCTTTTTTATTGTACAATTAAAAATTAAAGATTATAAATGATAACAACTTCATGTCATACATTTGTCATTTCTTTACTTGAACATTTAATAAATAAATGATAAAGAAAATCAAATCATAGTCCTACCTTTTCTGATTGTTCCATGAAGTGTATTTGAAATTATCCCGACTTAACTGTGCTATTTCATGCGTGTGTTATGATAAAGCCTTGAAATTTCCGCAGTTTATATAGCTACGAAATTTTCTGTTCTACATTTTAACCTTATCTATCTCAACTGTAAACACTCCTCGATATAACATATAATCTATTTATATATCGGCACACAGAATGTGTTTCGTCAGTTTACTTAGATTATTGTTTAAAGTTGCATGCCCCCAAAAAAGCCAAATTGTTTCAATAAAGTCAAACCTGAGAAAAATGCAAAAGATTTTAAGAAAATGAAAATGATACCAGATTTTAATAATAATTTTGCACGTACGAGGGTGCATCAATAAATTTGTAAACTAATTCAATAGCGTCAAAACTACTGGTCCGTTTAAAATGAAACTTTAAATGCTGTGAAAACAGATTATTTCAAATTGAATCGTACTATGTACACAACTTTGACGTCATTACTTAATACGTCATAAACCGTAAATGACGTCACGTTACTGGTGTCCGTTCGAAAATGGCGTCACACAGCGTCAACGAAAAGCGCATCATTATAAAAGTTTACACAAAACTCGGAAAGTCGTTTTCCGATATTCGTGAAGATTTGCGAAAAAGTTTACGGAGAAGCTGCTCTGTCTAAAGGTGTCATCTCAAAGTGGATGAAGCGGTTTAAAGACAGTAGAGAGGCAACTGAAGACAACAGTCGTACAGGTAGACTAGCAACAGATTGCAGATTGTAGACTGTAACAGATGAAGAAACAGTGGCTGCTTTTCAGGAGTACATACTCCGAGATAGACGAGTAAGTGTGGAGCACGTTGGAAAAGTTCGCTATGTCATATGATACAGCTCAGGGCATTATGACTGATAGATTAGGGATGCGCCGTGTTTCAGTAAGATAGGTGCCTCGTTTGTTGACGTCGGAGCAGATGGGGATAAGGGTGAAAATGTGTCAGCAGTACGACAGAAGATAATTATCGTGAAGAAGGCGATTACTTTCTAAGTTGAGTTATATCATATGATGAAATGTGGATTCACTTTTTTTGAACTGGAAAGCTAACGTCTGCGTTCTGTCTGAAAGCATCCTTCCTCGCCTTTCCCTACAAAAAGCGATTAATTCCAAGTCAGCCGGGAAGGTTATGGCCATTATATTCTGTGATACATACGGTGTAGTGCTAAACCACTTTGTTCCTCCGAACACGACAGTCACAAGGAACTATTATGCAACATTACTTAGAACGGAATTCATGGCGGCAATAAGGAGAAAGCGTCCACATCTACTTAGGTTCGGATTTATATTACATCACGACAACGCGTTGAGCCATTCAAGCCACGTTGTCATGGATACACTAGAAAAACTCGACGTCGAACTGTTATCGCACCCACCCTACAGCCCGGACCTATCAATTTGTGACTTCTGGCTATTTCCAACTTTAAAAAACAGTCTCCTTGTTACGAAATTTGAGTCAAGAGAGGCACAGAGGTGTGCCATGGGGAGATGTCACGTGACAGGCTACAACACGTGTTCGAGTCATGTGTTGAGAGATGGGACAAGTTCAAATCGTGCATGGGACGTTACTTTGAGAAGGAGTAATCATTTTAGGTATATGAATTAAATCATTTCCCCGCTATTGAATTAGTTTACGAATTTATTGATGCACCCTCGTAATATGCCATTTATGATTGATTTTTTTCAGTATTTACAACTATATATCTACTGCGTAATTAACGCAGTACATGTTATTTTCAAATATTTTGACCTTATTTTAGTAATTTTCGCGGACTGTGTGTGCTGTATGTACAGGTTGCAATTGATTGCTTCCTTTTAATAACTTCATATATGTTTTTTTCTTTTAAAACAATTTTAGAAATTTCAGGAAAATTAACATAATTCTGGAGGCGTGCTGTTGAAGTACTAAGGCACCCCTATCAAACCATGGTTCGTTCACATTTGTGTGATCTTTATTTAGCTTTGTTTTGGTCGAGGGCTGTACAGTCAACGGACGTGTCGAGGGCCTTCGTTTAATTAAACAGACCTCTCTAAAATGTAAAAGAGTCAGCGCTTAGTACGGGTGTAAAAATTGTAAGATCATATTCATTTATTAACTTTGGTTCACGAGTAGTTCCTCGAATTTTTGAATCAGGGCTTAACAATGCTTATATATATGTTGCCTACATTGTGGGTGTAGCATACAGTTTATATCTGTTCCTTATAGATTGTTTTAGCTCTGCAGAGTTAGATGACTTTTCCGTTCAAGATATGATTAAGTCAGAATGTAGCTACAGTAATGTACATGCAATCACAACATTTCACTCTTGAAGAAATTTTATACTATTTTCTGAACAACTATATATGCTTTAAACTATCAATAAATTTAAACGTTGTGTTGCACAATTTGCGTAGAAACGGAAACACAGTATCATCTACTATAAGTAAATGCAATTTAATGTCACTTATCTTTACTGACGCTCCGCTACCCTTCGAAAACGATAATTCGATTTTAAAATGATTGATTCAATTTTGAATGTATAATTATGTGTTTTTGCAATCAGAACATCTCGGCTATTATCAGTAATAACCTTGGAGTTGATACGGATTAAAAGTTTTAGATGAAACAAAAAGAGAGGTTGATATCTTTCATAATGTATAACATATATATATATATATATATATTTGAAATCCACAGGCTAATAAAATCTACTTCGGTAAAATCCTGATTGCACAAAAATCTGACAATCATTATCATTTTAAACTGATAACTGATGTTAAATTATAACCAAATAACAGGTAGATATTTATTACTTTCCGTTTTTGCAAACCATAATGGATAGTTACAATTTTTATTAATAATGTTCTGTTTACTGTTGTATTTGTCATACTGACATCAGATTTATTGATATGTACTTACATGAATTTACTTTTCAACTCCTTGCATTCAATAAATATATGTTTATGTGTTTAGTTTTTTAGCGTCGGTAAGACCGAAATACCGTTTCCGTTCTGTGTATTCTTACTATTGTTTTCCAGGTTTATTATCCAAGTGGATAGGGCCAAGAAAGTGAGATTGGTGTTATTGTGATTATAAGCAACTTCAAATCCCGATCATCGTAAAATATTGCAAGCTTATACAATTCAGCTTGCATTTAATATTTTCTTAAGCATGAACATATTAACTCATCTGTTTACACAATTGTTACGCTTAAATGACATACAAATAATGGGTATTCATATGTTGCACTGATGTTATTATTTGACAAAAACTTAATACAATAATTATCGCAAACATGAATCAAAAGTACATTTTGATTTACTGTTTATTAGAATTATTACCACCACAGCATACTTAATAATTATGGTCTGCATATCAAAATGCCTTAAATATTTAAAACTAAAGTAAAATTAATTGACCATAACACTATTCAATATGTCTGTCACATTAATTGAGCGTATGTATTATCGTTGATTTAAAGACAATTAACTGTGTCTCCAGAAAAGGTCGGACTTTGCGTAGATATGACAATGTGCATATTTGTATATAAAGAAAACTATGAGCATATCCAACACTGCAAATGATATCGAGATATGGCAAATTTGTTACACTGAAATCAATATCAACATATACAAAGACAAATAATAACAAAGTCATTTCATTTCCAAGCTTTATAGTTGAATATACTGTCTTTCATTTTGTCATCTGCAATTGCTTAAATACCTTGTATTCGTAAACACAAATTCTTCCAGTCAAAAATAGTACCTGACAAAATAAAATCTGAATTACAACACGTTGTTATAAGTTGGGCATTGCTCTTACCGACAAAAAATGTTTAGGCAATAGCTTAAAAATCAATGTACATTCTCCACTGCAAAAAATAGAACCTCCAGATTAATGCATATCTTAATGAACATTTTGAAAATGTATTTAAAAGTAAAATATTTTGTTGTAACCAAAGAAAGTAATAAACACGTTGCAAACGGCATAAATTACCAAATATAAGCCAACATATGCTAAAGATTGCCCTTATTGCGTTAGGCTGCTCGCATAGAAATATGGTAATTAATACTGGAAAATAATTAAACGCAAATAACATGCACATTTTTCATTAAATCTTTTCTTAAAATCATATTTTATCCTTCTTAAATTTGATTTTCTTGACATAGTTTGACTCATCTGAAGACATACAGCTCATTTTCATAAATGCCATTATTTAATCAAAGTTAAGAGTATCAGAGGCCTATCAATCGGACAAAACACATTTATTCTATATTATCGTAACTATAGTGAAAATTGTTACATTGAATGACTGTTAACATTGCCAGTATTATTTAGACAGTAAACTGTAGAGTCTGAAAATATCCAGTAAACGATTCATGAATACTATCGATAAGATATTCATTTACTTAGATACCCTTTACAGTGCCTGTGTAACAGAACGATTCTGTACACCGATGTTCGGAACATTGCATTGAGCATTGTCAAATCGTGCGAATAAGACTTCAGATACAAATTCAAATTTATCAACACATTTTCGAAAACATGACGTATACCCGAATACTGTCAATGATTCATCTAAAATTATGAGCCTTAAATATTGAATCTTTTTTTCCGTCTCCACCCTCAAGATGCATTTCTTTACTCGCTCTTGTTTTACACGCTAGGATAGGAAAATACTGATATAGATGAAAATACTATAGAACATAACAAGATAATTATGCGACATCTAGAAGTTTTCTTCTTAAATTACAAGGTATTGTAATATTTGGTACTTTGTATAGACAATAGTCCATAATATTCTAATGACATCTAAGTCATTGTATAAACAATTAACACAAAGTGTGTCTTGACTGTTTGATTTACTAATTCCAAGTGCCTGGAGCTGCATACATTTAGGCGGGAATACATGTTACAGAGAATCATGAGAAGTATAGACATGCTATAGTGATAACATTAATGAATTATAAATACATAATTCTACAGTATATGCAAAGATTGTGATATTGAATGCTACGATATACCGTGGATGCGGTACGGTCGTTGTCTTACGAGTACATTTTTCAGATATAGAATTCGACTATAGGTGTCGAGTTATATTTGAATCTTTCAATACAAATAATTAAATCCCAGAATTTATGCAATAGGAATTGTGAATAGATAGATTTTAAATATAAACCATTTTACCATTGACATTTAAAATATTATGTGTATAGATTTCATTTTAAAAACATCAAAATATTGGCAGCAGTAAAATGAAATTTCGTTGACTTTTAAACTTATCTTAGTCTAGGGCTAAATCAATATTGACACAAAACACATACATAATCACAGGCTTATTTATGATAACGTATTATTATAAGGATCTTACACCAGCTGTGGTACATACCGGAATATCTATCTGTAGGGCAACTGTTTACGGCGGTAACGAGGCTCTGTCGAGTTTCCGCTAAACAGTTACGCGAGAGTTAGATATTCCCGTTTGTTACGACTCGTTTTACTTGTATATTACATATTTATCATGTTTCGGAAAGAAATGACGAAAAAAATGGTAATGTATGAATTTACAACTTTATTCATAACGGCGGCAAAATGACGTCATTCTAAGAACGCAATTAATTCATTAAATGGATGCAGAATGACGTCATTATAAGCAGCAACTTGTCTTAAAAGGGGTGTGGTGCAAGACAGATATTTTTTCAAGCACCGGTGTGAACGGTTAATAATCCTGTCTGAAATGCAATAATAAATCTTTAATTCTGGAAAACAAAATGACCTACCTCAGTAGTATCCGCCATAATTTAATATTTTTTACTTTTTATATCCTAGGTCGTTTAGTCGTTATCTAAGCTGACCTAGATAGGATAAATATTTACATAGTGCATCCATATCTATTCATCATGTGCATACATTATTATTATTATTATCGAGCAATCTTAAAATTGTTTACTAACATATAAGGTATGTATGTACTTCATTTTAAAGTGATCACCTTTGATGATTGAAAACTAAATACTGTAGATTAAATTTGAGTAATTATTTGTTAAACATTTTAATAGACTCAGTGTATCACTTACTTTTTGAATAGATAACATTCATATCGAAAGAACACCTTGTTTTTTGTTTTTGTTTTTCTTGTTACTGTTTTTTTTATTTTGCATCTACGTAAATATATATCAGTTAATTGTGTTTATATTTTATATATGCTTAATCACATTACAATATATTTTGACTAAAAAAAAGTTACATTCTTTAAAAACAGCACACTACAAAATACTGTATCATAGAAAACAAATGCTAACTTTTTTTGGCGTTTTTTAAACTTCGCACACGCATGAAAATGAATCTCTGAGTACAAGAGGCGAGACAAAAGGTGTTTCAACCGGGAAGGGCGATCACATTCACAGATTTACTGTTATTCACACTTGTTCATTGTGAAGTTATGCTCATTTTCTCTATTGTGAAGTTGAGCTTAATTGAATATTTATTTTACAAAAATGAATGTTATAATGGTGATTGACCAAGAGTTGAAACAGTTGAAAGTTAAAATATAAATCTGCCTTAAATATTTGGGGACTGTGCTACTTTATTCACATGTGTTTTTATCGTTCGTGTGACGTTAATTATAAGATTAAAATGAATTATGCCAGAATATTAACTTATTTTAATTTCATCAATTCACTCATCATATACCCGTAGATGGGCATAATTTCACTTATAAGTAAATTGTTACTGTACATACAAAAATATACTATTAATTCTCATAAATGTTGCAAACAATAGCATTCATGAACGGAAAAAATTATCAAAGTCTTTATAATATCAATATATTGTATTAATTTGGCTTCTCTAATGGAACTTCCTCGGTCTGATTAATACAATCTAACCTATGTATTAGACTGCGTTTGTAGCTATCCTGAGAAACACGCTCAGCGTTGAAATATCAAGTTATCTTTATCATCCTTGATATTCAAAAGCATTGATTAAAATTATGTTTCATTGCTAAATATTCAGTCACTTTATTAAATTGTTGGTAACATAATACGATGGTTCGTTATATTGTAAAACAATTTATCACAAACTGCTAACTTGTTTAATTGCTTCATATATAGTTTAAACTGCTTTAGTGATAAAACGTATGATGTACAAGTCTCTCTTAAATCGTTGATACTCTCTGGGGATTCATATACAACACGAAGTTTTACTATTTATTTAATTTCAAAGGTACAAATAGACACGACATAATAAACCAAGTACACTTGTTATCTTCTCGATCATTAATCTAATAGAAACATAACTTTAGTTTTGACAATATGTCATCTTCAGATTTCATGTTGTTTAACAATTAACACGACGGGATTTATGTAACTCTGATTATGTTTGTACTTTTAGAGATTAGAACTTTTTGTTTTCAAAACAACAATGAACATGATGTATGCTAATTATGTAAGTTAACTTTGAGTTCATAGAAGATTACAAATGCAATCAGTTCCATGCTTTATAGTTGAATATACTGTCTTTCATTTTCTCATTTGTAATTTTCTCGAACTCCTCGTTTTGTGCAACTGTAAAATGATTCTTCCAGTCACCAATGATACCTGAAATCAAATGTTGAAATATTTGTGTTTGCATGGTTTGGTTTATATGTTTTGAAAGGGTATATTTTTAGATGGCAGTATGCGCTTCTTTTCATCTGTGTATTCCAATCTATATAAACCTGAAATTTCCTTCTTTGTTTTGCTTATTACCCTCCTTCTATATATATATATATACTGTGGCATCATTTGATTTACTTTTAAGAGTTATAATAACAAACTTAAACTAAAAATTAGAGTAATTCAGATTAATATTTGATAATTTTATTTCGCTTGAAATTGAACATACTTTTATTAGAAAGCACCGGTATTTTTGACAAGACAATGTTTCTTTAGGCGTCAACAGCATATTTCGTCAATTTACTTTTTCAATTTAGATTAATTTATAAACTATATAATTATTTTTGACGACCACTTTAATCATTTTTATTTGTTTGGGTCGTCAGACCAAACAAATAATGGTAGCGAAATTTCAGACCCTAATGTTCTTATTTGCAAATGCCGTAAGTAGTCCAAACTCCTCGAAGCGGTTACTTCCATTCATATGTACATTTACGCCGAAAAATAAAGGGGAGAACACTGCGTAAAGATTGTCAAATGACAGGCGCATTAATTTTCGTTACATAAAAATAGCTCCTGATTGGTCGAAGACTTCAAATATTGTGTTATTCTTATAGATATACATGCTTATATTCAGCTCCATGATTATTTACTTCAGTGTTAAACAACGTTAAACAACAGGTTTACCGTTAACAAAATATGGGTTACAAACTCTAATTTAGAATAATATGAAATTCTTCAAGCTGTTAACATATAAGTCTCCATGGTCTAGGGGTTAACACGCTCGCTTAGGAAACGAGAGATCTGGAGTTCAAACCCCAGTTCGGGCAACTCATGCTATTTTTTTTGCTTTTTTAAAAAAATTTTGAAGCCAAATAAACGTTGAATTAAATATCAGTGATGCAATTAGTCTTATAGCCAATTTACTATAGGTATAACATTGGAAACAGAATTGGTGACACTAAACAAACAAATTGGTTTAAAATCTCACAACCTTCACCTTTCTGACATTCTGAGACCCAAACCAATTCAGCGCCGTTTGTGCTTTGATTATACTACACTGCGGATGAACACTTGGTCAAAATCGCACCATGGGAACATAAAAGGGCGGCATGAACGCCCGTTTAAAACAGTAAAATTAAGGTAAGCATTATATGTAAAACTAGGTCGCACAGAACCCCTGTATAAAATCCACGCAATGTTCTGTTATCAGTTACTTTGTTCTTATCTCTGTTTAGGCCTGAAAGTCGAAAAGGTTGTTTTGGGTGATTAGCACAGTGGGGCAACAGGTACTAAAATGCTTTGCTTTCAGTCAAAGAAACGCATTTTGAGCAAAATTAGCATGTCATCTTGTACAATTGTAAGTTTGGGCGTCATAACAATTTCCATCCTTTGTAATGTTGCATAACGAGATGTACATGTACATCAACCTTTTCGACTTTCAGGCGTTTAGGCCGCCATTTCATGAGCCCATTGTACGATTTTGGTCACGGGATCACCCGTAGTGTATACTACATTACTATGAAATAATAGCTGCCTATTTCTCACAAAGGATGACTATTATTTATGATATAGATTCTTATGTATAAATCGCTTCCTTTATTCAGAGATTTTCAAATTGCCATTTGTAGCATTTCAAAATGTTGAACATTTCCTGTAAAATGGTCTTATATCATAAAAATATCTTAATTTCCGACTTAAGGAAACCTCCTTTTGCTCACCTTATCATGTTAAAGAAAATTTTAACTATTTGAAAATTATCATTTTTTACCCTTACACATCTGAAAGAACAATGCATTGATAATGTAAATTATCCATCATTTTGTGTGAACATCGTCTATATTCTTGATTCAAACAAAAAAATGATAAAATCTTTCTACCATTATTGTTAAAGTTTTTACCTTTCCTATAAAGCACCGACTTTCCTTTATCATCTTTTAGACTTGTCTCCACCTTTCCACTTTCAACGTCATTTCTCAAATAATCGATAGAACATCTATTTATAACTTCTTGTAAACGCTCATCTGAGTGATTAGTACCGAGATAATTCTGTATTCGGCGAACCTCGTGTAAACTGTTCTGTGAATTTAATACAGATTAAAATTATTCCGTACACGCTGAATCTGTTAAAAACTGTTCAGATATAAATTATTCTGTATACGACGATCATCGTGTCAACTGATGTGTGACTTTGATAGACAATAGGTGAGTCAGACCTTTTGTTCTAATGCCAAGTTACATTAAATAATCTTAAATGTGATAGAAATAAAATTATTCAAACCAATGTGATTATATATACGGCAAAACTCGTTTAAACACTTCTTTATAAAAACAATACATATTGAAATCAAATTGATTGTGTTAACCTCGTGTAAAGAAATCGGATTAAAAGTAAAAATATGTGTATGTTTTTGTTATTTTACAAGTAAAATAAGTTCCATTCATCAATTCTGTTACGTTAATTCAGATAAGTGTTAACTTCTTGTATAGTAATAACAAAAAATAAACGAGAATACGTTGCACAGATTTTTATCAGACAGACAGTCACGCTTGACCAATGAAATTCAAGTTACAAATGTGAAATATTATAGATAGAAATTAACAAATAAAAGATTGGAAAATAAATAAATTTTAACCTTTTTCAGATTTTCATACTGAACAATAAGAACATCCATTTTTGAATTAGTTTTGAGTTCCGCTTGCCATTTATTGTAGTAATCAAAGTACGATCCAAATAAGACTGAAACAAAACTACATTTTCAAAAACTATTGCACAAATGTTGATAATTGTGAAATCTAGATGCAGGAAAAAACACAATTCATGACGAAGTAGGAACATAAACATTCTTTTACATAAATTTATACCGTTTATAATTCAATTGTTTTAAACTTTTATTAACTATGTAAAATAACTATTTGTTATTCGTATTACTGCACTACTTTTATTAAATACGACATATTGTAAAATTACATACTTTTTCCTTCAAGCCAATAACTAAGAAACTTGTCCCATGATATATTAAAATCACCAACAACTTTCTGTTTTCGCATCATGTAGTACATCGAGACGGCTGAATCCTTTGGGTTCCTGAAGACAAGAATAGTTTTTCCGCCGTTTGCAAAATGGTCTCTTGGCAGACGTTTTGGATGTAGGTGTGATGTTAAAAGTCTTCTGTTTTCATCTTTTTCAGAGTCTTTTATGCCATATAAATCTATTAGCCAACCACCATGTGAAACCTTATCTTCCAACGGACCATCGGGATGCTGAAGGAAGTATATGAGATTGGCTGTCCAGTGTGTTCCTACAATGGATTTTGTTTCAGTTGGTTTCAAAACATGTCAGTATGTGATAATTAAAAACAATAACTCAAAATTGAAAGATCTAGCAAAAGAACTCACTCTATTGAATAATGAACTTGAATATTGTTTAGAAACATTTTTTTGGAATATAACTCTTGGTATATTAAACACATTTTACTTTCAAAAATCGGGCATAAACTAAGTATCTACAGAATATCGTTTAGATAGAGGCACTTTAGTCTTTTCAAATGTACCGGTATCATCAATAATAAAACACATTTAGACGTAAAATGGAAGCTGCAAATATATAGTTAAATACTTTTTTAAATATAAACAGAAATATGACTTTATTTATGTCATTTTGTTGTTAACTTTAGAATTAAGACAATTAAAATAAATTGCCAAATCAAAAACTTACCTGTTTTCGGATAGCTACATATCATTACATCACCGCTTTTATACTGGAGATTCTTCACTAAGGAGAGCCGTTTTAGTACAGCCTCTTCACTGTCGAAAAAGGGCATAGGAAAAATAATTCCACCAATGTCAATCACTTTAATTTGTCCACCGTCTTCGCTCTCAAGCATCATAACCTTACTCGTTCCTGTCTCATCATACTATGATATAGAAGAAACTTATTTTTGACATAGTAAGACAGTTATATACCATAGAAGTATTGGTTTATCTTTCTTTTAAACGAAAATAACATAACGTTATTTGAAAACCTTATAACAAGTTTTGTCAAAATAGAAAACGAAACAAAAAGTAATATTGACAACAATATATATGAATTTAGTTATATCCCGATAAAACAAACATTTACCTTGCAATTTGGAGAATTATGAACAATTTTAAGACAGTGAGGAAATTGTATTTGAGTATAATTACACTATTTAAATATAGACCTCACTTGTTTTAATTGGCAGGTTTTGTCTTAGAATTAGTATCAAAATATTTTTATTCTGTGAGCATAGAATTTGATCAGTGAGATAAAAATCTATAATAAAGTCATATATGTGATTGACCCATGTTACCATGTTTAATACCTATCCCAACATATTTGCTATACTCTGACTTGTTTAAATATTTTTTTTAAAATATGTAATTTAAACCTTAGGGAAGTAAGAGTTCCATTTATCACAACATTTATACTTTAAAGTGTCACGTGACAAGTATTAAATGTCCAGTCTTTCATGAACGTCTTGTTATATTTCTCTCATACAGTTTTATTTTATTATTTTGGACATGGAATTACTAGTGGGGGATAGGTATTGAACTTACAACTACCATTTAGAACAGAATCGTTTAATTAATTCCTCCACAGGGTCTTTCCTTATACAATGTTATAGTAACGGCTTTGAATTTTAATTGTCTTTTAATTTGCATGTGTTTGTGTTACACAACAACGTATTTTGACACCCTTAAAAAACTATGATTTGGTATTGATCTGAAAGTTAAGTTAATTAAAAACAGATCAAAACTTTTTTCCAATTCCATACTTTATTTATTGTCCTATTTTAATTTCAATACAATAAATTCTCTCTATTACTAACTGGGCTAACTCAAAATGGTCTTAATAGTAAACTGGTCTTAATAGCAAATAAGCCAATTTTAGAGCTTATGCAGTCAAACTAAACTCAATGTTTATGTACTCATGTCTCAGACTTTGATTTAAACTTTTCTAAATGTAGATTTTGAACTTTTATATTAATTTTATATTTTCATGATACGATTTTTGATAGACTGAGTAAGCAATGATTTTAAGTGTCATAAAAATGCAAACTAAAGATAGACTGACATCTGTCATTTTTTCCAAAACATTAAGTATATTTTTTTTGTTGACAAAAAGTTAACACGTAAAAGTTACATAGTTATAAGTGAAGCACATGTGATTTAAAAATCTTACAAATTTACGTTTATTTTCGTTGTTGTCTTTCGTTGGATTTTGATGGTACATAAATCAATAGATAAATACAACCAAATTGAGAGATAAAGATATTCTGACAAAATGAAAGATTAATATTGTAATATACTACCGATATATTATAGTTGCTAATTAAATCATTATCTTTTATCTGATCGGTATAGTAACTTTTCAAGACCGTTTGATTTAAAATGAAAACCTTTGATGTTTTCATTTAAATTCAATAAACGCTATATTTCTATAATTAATGACTACATAATTACACCTACATGAGTCATTGTAAACATACAGTTTTGAAGATAACAATTCGTAAACGTTTATGTTTATTACGCATATGTCTAAAGAAACTGCATGGGAAATTATACTGTATTTACTCTTTCCGTGAAGTGACAGGTGTTTCTTTTACAAAATATTATTTTATTGTACAACAACAGCATCATGTCTTTATATTATCTTTTTATTATCTTTAAACGAATTAAAGTTTATTTTTTATCTATCTTTTAATATATCTTCATTGTGCTCCATAATTCAACCTTCAAATGTATGTGCATTCAATACCATGATCTGTTACACTGTATATTTTAAATTTTTTATTCTGAAATCAAAGGCTAAAATGTTTTGCTAAAAAAAGTGTTTTGTTATATTATAATGTTCTATGACGATAAAAAACATATTACCTCACTGGTTTCCGCCATAGTTGAATAGTGCAACTTATTTAAATCCAAGGTTGTTCAACTTGCTTTCAATGTTGGCCTTGATAAAATAAATTTGTCCAAAGTGCACTTATACCATTGTGTTGTATACACACATGCTATCGCATTTGGCCTTGATATAAATGTCCTAGATATAATAACGTATGAGGCACGTTTGACCTTTTATTTTAATGTAGAATTTATCAGCTTAATGGATTTGATAGCATATCACTACCTCCTATGTCAAGACGGAAAATCATCTGATAAAATGCACGCGAACGCTCATCCTGTCTTACTCATCTGAATAGCTTGATATACGGTATATTATTTAACACGCAAAGCACTTTTAATCTTCAAATTCAAATTCAATAGAAAACACAATATTTAGCTTATTTGATTTATTAATAAATGAAGTGTAACATTTTATAAATTGAAGAGTTTAAAACGGTTTGAATAGCTTGTTGCTGTAATTATATCGTCTTAATTTCTAGTTGGTGCAACAATTGTCAGATACAAATATTAAAATATTCATCAACACAAAAAAAGAAGAAAAAAAACTTCTCTTGTAATGAATTAATCATTTTCGAAGGTGATAATGTAGCAGTCCATTGGAATCATTATTGGAAGTATAAACATGTGATTAATTGTTTTGAAAATAAGAATGATTCCCAAAATTCGTTCATTGACAAAGAGAATAGCATGATGATAGGCAACGGGCAAGTTAATATGTTATAAACTTATTGTTCACAAAACATTTGTGATATTTTTTAATGTAACAACATTGGTCGATGAAAACCTGAAGCATTTAATTGTGATTACTTTATTATATAAGCCCAATTATCGTATGCGCTTGTGAAATTTCAATATAAATCGCATGTCATGTTGATGATTTTTGAAAGTAAAGCGTATTTCACGCAGGTTATTTACTTAAGACAATCAAAGAATAAACATATTTTTTTCCAAAACATGGGTCGGTTTATGGAAGTTTTATTTTGATATATTTTTGTTTCATAACCGTTTCAAATGATACCACATACAATTCTTTGAATACGTATTTGTTGTCAAAGTTTACACTTTTTTTTGTACTAGCGTGTTGTATTTTCCTTTCCCTGAAACAGTAACAGTAACTGATAAAGTATTTTAATATTCCTTTGAATAAATAAGTTATAAGTAAGGCTGGTATGCTTGAAAAAAAAACAATGTTTGTTATATTAAATAAAATTAATTCCGGCAAAAGCATAATTGCTTATCTCATTTATTCATTTCATCACATGAACGCTGAGGGATCATTTATTTTGATTAAATACATACTAGTAGGACTTACAATATTACATAAAATTTAATGAAGAGATCGGAAAATTATCCTTTGTTTAAGGTTATTTATTATATGACCCTCACAAAAAAATGCTTGCTATGCAAATATTCCTTTTATGTACAATACAAACTCAAATATTGATAAGATTCTTTAGATTGTTGTTGTAAAAATGTCTCAATACTTAAAATGTCTTAAAATTGTAAGGTAAAGTTTTTATACAAAAATAAAAAATAAATTATACAACATGATGAACAAGTTTGACCACCTCTTTTAGAAACTAAAACAGATAAAATCACATTGCTGAAAATTATTTCAAACCAGAACAAAAACTAAAACCATATACGGATATTTGTAACACAGAAATAACATCAGTTCCACGCTTTGTAATTAAATATACTGTTTCCCATTTTCTTCTCTGCTATTTGCTCAAATTGTTCATTTTGTGCAACTGTAAAGTGTTTCTTCCAGTCTCCAATAATACCTGAAATATGCATAAAAGGTATTTTCAATTTATCTGCAACCAATTCAACCATTTTAAGTGCAATGGATGTTTTTGGTTAAGACGCAAGACGCAACTATTTTATATTCTGGATGAAACTATTATTGCATTAATCTTTAAATGACTGGTCTGTAGGACTATTCTGTCAAAAACAAAGTCACAAGACCGATAGATGAAATAATGTTTATGTACGTCTCTAGTCACATGTTTACCTGAAATTCATTTTACTACAATTCAAGACAACCCTTTACGTTATAGTCTTCACCTGTCCTACTATGGTGCAACCCCGTATTATATTACCTCCTGTACGTATTACTATTTGTGTACTACGACGTGTATGTGATGTCTTATAAAAATAACGTTCGACATTGCAGGTGTACAAGAAATAGACGATGAGCAAGTGATCATTTTAAGATATGGATTTAATCCACCAGATCGTAGACTGCTTTAACTTTTCTGGCTGTTCATAAATGATATTATACTTGTTTGGAAAGGATGGGGAGTCAATTACAGGCAAGACCTTGATTGGTTGCAATGTTTGTTTTGGAACAAAAGCTGTTTTAAGGTATAAACTGGAACTGAATCTCAAAGACTACGTCCGTGTAACTGTTCAAACTGATCCATTATTAATATTTTTTCAAAAAGCATAAAATGCAGTACCGATTGACTTTTGTGTCTTTACCTTAGTAATAATTGGTGGTAAATCATCGTCAGAAGCTGCAAAATCGGCATCGTCAATTGGAATTTTAGGTTACTACTTTTAAAAAATTAGGATTTTGTGTCAAGCTGATTTCGCTGGAACTTTTGAATTGACGAATAGTGACCAATAAGGAAATTGTGGCAGGGCAGTTCTAGCTCATTTCAAAAGTACGTACACAGACGCAGAGTTTTAACAAGGAATATGTACAGCAGGGCTAAATCAAGAGACATACCGGTACTCTCGTTTCACTGGACGACTTACATAATCCGTTGATGTATAAACAAAAACGATATTGAGATCGTTTAAAACAAAACAGAATTATAATAAGGATGACCAAGGACAAACTTGCGTTCGTCTAGACGGTGAAAATTTTTTGATGTAAGTCTTAGGATTTCTTAATATGCTTAAAACAGTTTCGATCAATATTTGGTCTGAGTGAATGCAAAGCTATGTACAAAACACATGTTTTACTGCGGACCAGACATTGTAATTCGATAGTATAGTTATATAACTCGACATGCTTTTGCATAAAGGAACAACTGTTGCTTCAGTACACAGATATAAAATACATGTACCTTTCCTGTATAGAACAGACTTTCCTTTGTCGTCGACAAGATCTGATTTAACCTTTCCACTGTCTACATCGTTTTTCAGTTTCTTCAATGAACACCTGTCAATTACAGCCTCAAGACGCTTTTCTGTGAGGTTCAAACCAAGGTAATTCTGTATGCGGCGTACTTCATGCAAACAATTCTATAAATAAAGTTTTTTTTTGTTTCCTTTCGGAGTCTTTACATCTTTGTTTGGTACCTTACCTTACTGTTGAAATATTGTTAAAACAGTTTTAAGCCCAAAGCGTTTAGGAATAAACATTTTTTATCAAGAATTTGTTATTATTAAGTGTAAAATTGTTAGTTTTTATGGCATATAAAGTGTACATATTTCATCTATTTTACATTTATATAATTTGAGTAAACTTTCCAGATTTTTTATCCGAAAAGAAGAATCTCGGGTGCCGACTTTGAGCATTGGTTCAGGCCCGAGCCGGCATATGAGTAGAATTATATCCTTTTAAAAGTATGGGCAATTGTTTCTGGTACAAAACTAGGCTATAATCATCTTTACCTTCTTAAGCTTTTCGTACTGAACAATAAGTATATCTAAATTTGGATTTCTTTCGAGATCTTGCTGCAACTGATTGTAGAAGTCAAAATATGAGCCAAATATTACTGTAATGAGAACATTTTTAAACTAGTTGAATGAATGAAAGCACGTATATCCGTTTTTATAAAGTAAGTAAGATTGCCTCGCCAGCATTTCTTCTTTATTTTTTATTGTTGTACAATAAAGAATATATCAACCCTATTTAACTATTTATGATGATAGTATAAATGACTTTCGTAAATAGAAGAGGTCACATCCGTGTTGTTAAAATCATTAACAATTTTATCACAGCAGATGATTTATTTTTACAGAACTTAAATCGTTTCTACATATTGAGGACTATTATTTTACAGAGTCTTGGAGTGTTTATGTGAAAAGACGATTTTCTTTCTAAATGATCTCAATTGTATTAAACTAAAGAAATGAAAAATCACAAAAGATTTAATTTCATGAACCTTACTTTTCCCGTCAAGCCAGTAACTAAGAAATTTGTCCCATGACAAATTAAAGTTTCCTACAATGTTCTGTTTCCGCATCATATAGTACATCGAGACGACCGAATCCTTTGGGTTCCTATAGATAAGAATAGTTTTTCCACCTTTTGCAAAGTGATCTGTTGGAAGGCGCTTTAGTGTGTAATGCGTTGTTAAAATTCTTTCTTTTTGTCTTTTGTATTTATCTTCAATGTCATAATAATCAATTAGCCAAGGAGAATGAGAATCGAATTCGTCTAAGGGACCGTCGTGAAGAAGGTAGTGTACAAGATTTGACACCCAATGTGAACCTAAAATTATAAATGTGATTGTAATTGTTATAACTATTATAATAGTTGTAATTACAATAAATAAAAGTATATACATATAATAATACAATATGACGTGCATGATGGATAACAATCCCTTAAAATAATGCAACTAAAAAGTTGAACAAAGACTTTTATATAATCATATAACTAACAATATATTTGCTGATACCAAAGTGATTTACCTTAGCCCCCCCCCCC